TCACCACATGCTGAGTTGAGTTTCCTGTTTAAAGGAGAGAGAGGCTGAGGGTGTGTGTATGGTGTGTGTGTATGTGAGCCAACAGGCTTAGAAGCACCAAAACCCAGTCATGAGATTTTCTGAGCTGTCTTGACCCAACTTGCACCAAACACAGCTTGTACACTGCAAACAGCACTGGGCAGAGGTCCCAACAAATGCAAAACAATATTTTTAATTCATCTAGGGGATTTCCTGAAGAAAACCTTGGCATGGAAAGAGCAAATTGCATTCAGCAAGAGTGGCAATGTTCTAGAAGGATTTAGCCGGCGATAGATGCCTTTAGTGGAGTGCAAGTTCCTCTCAGTTTGTCCCTGAAGCAGGGGTGTGTGAGGGGCAGTGAGGGAATTAGAGAGCATGAGAGAGAGAGAATTAATAGCAGATGGGGGAATAAAGAACTGCTTTCAATGGTCTCCAAAAATGTATGGAAAGAGGTGGGAAAGAAGGGCTACAGAGAAAGCTAATCTGCTCCTTGTAAGAGCCACAGAAAAAGCAGGAGGGGAAAGTGGTGTGCCCTGAAAAAGTATATTTCCCAATATCTAATACATACAATACATACATGGCCCTGAAAACGAGGGTCACATGTGGAAGGGAAGGAAAATACCCAAACTAAAAGTCAGCAGAGACAATCCTGAAAAAAATCCTTTCCAATCCAAAGGGTCACCATCCCTCACATTCTGACTGTGGGTATTGTGAAATCTGGTGATTTTTTAAAATCCAGCTTGTGAAATCTTATGTGAGAGCCTCATCCAGCACTCTCTCTCCCCTTCACAGAGACTTCTTATCCCTGTGCATAGACACGTTTGTGTCTTGTGGTTTTACCTAAAGGGTCAGAAATTAGCTGCAAGAAACAGAAATGTCTCCACTTGTAAAATTTGTTCTAATCCAAGCTCAATACTTTGCAAGGATGATTTTTTGATGCATGCAAAATTGGAAGCTGAACTTTGCTCCCTTTTGACAGTCAGGGACTTGCATATCACTTCAGCAAAACAAAACAAGCTTGCAAACAATATGATTAGGTAAAGCTTTTTCTATTAATGTCCTAGCAAGAAATCCTTTGCAGCACAAACAATGTACTAATCTCTGATCTGCCTCAAATGCTATAATATCACTCCAGGCACTATATTAAGCCTTATTGTTCCCTTCAGTAAAAGGCAGTTCTGAGGCTGCGTTTCTGGGGACAGCTTCACACAATTAGACACTGAATAGCTGTAAGCATGACTCCTACAACTGAGAGGAATTTAATGTGGCCCTTCCTAAAAGACAGAAGATATGAGGATAAAGGTCAAGTGCTTTGAACCAAAGGCTGGGAAAGAAAAGTAGCTTCTTGCTACTCTAAGCAACAGCACCAAATATCTGTTTAATTGATCTGCTGAGCCCCCTCGTAAGTGAATGCACAATGCATGTGAGCTTGCATATGCTTGCATGCAATGGCTTGCATACCATTTTTTATGGGGTTCCAGCTTGCTTTCTGCTGTACCTAAGTTTGCAGCTGTAGTCCAGAGAGTTAGAGAACATAAAGCGTCCTTCCACATTTTGAGATGTGCATTTCTTGTGAAGTGCAGGAGGAAGAGCATTATGAATACAAAACAAGGGGCTAGTACTCCCAGTTCCAGAGCCTTGCTCTGCCTTTCACAGCTGCCTGCAGTAAGGCATATCACCCTCTTGGTGCCTTAGTTTCCCCGGGAATAACTGTGCTTCAATGTAGGAAGAATATTGAATTTGGCTATTGCTTGCAAACTGACAAGTACTTGTGAGGTACTTTAATAAGGAATATTTACTATTCATTATATCTGAAAATACAAACTAATTTTCAGAAACATACAAGGCTATAGGCATTTTATCCAGAGTCCTCTGAAGTCAGCAAAAGTATTCCATTAAGATGTGAATATCAGCAGGATTTGGCCAAATATCCACAAGACACCAGTCCTTTCCTGGTGCTAACTGCCAATCTGGTTTTGATTCAGGGCATGTCTCAGCTGCAGACTTCTTTAATCACAGCACTACTGGATTTTGCACATGTATTTTCAAGGAAAAAAAAAGAAAGAATACACTTGCACTTGCACCTTGAGGAGGCACACACAGGAAGAGGCTCCTGGGTTTAAGGCTCACCTATTAAAAACTGTCCAGTCCAACTGCAATGGCCAGGGACATCTTCAGCTAGATCAGGTCACTGAAAACTCTGTCCAGCCTGACTTGGAATGTTTCCAGGGATGGGGCATTCTCTGGGCAACCTGTGCCAATGTTCCATCACCCTCACTGCAAAAACCTTCTTCTCTCCCAATCTAAAATTACCCTTTTTTAATTTAAAAGCATTACTCCTTGTCCTATCACAACAGGCTAAGAAGTCTGTCCTCATCTTTCCAGTAATGAATTCTAGTTTGGATCCCCTCTGGAGGTGTTAGGCTCTGGGTAGAGAGTTTTGGTGAGTAACATGAGATTACAGTTATTTCCCTGGCTGGCAAGAGCTAACTCCTTGTTCTATGGGAGTGACAAGAAAGGTGGCAAAGAGCCTCAAAACTTGCTGAAATTAACTACAGTCTGGGACCATTGCAAAGTTCCTCAGATTCTTAATTTTCAATGCAAATTGGTCCAGTGTTGCTCCTTCAGCTGAAGGGATTTCCTATTTATAACCAAATGGAAATATCCTGAACTAAAGCAGAGCAAAAAACTGCCAATCCACAGCTGCCTTTTTCCTGTAGGTTCATCCAAATCTCCCATGGAGTAATTGAAATATAACTGTGTAATGAAACTTATAAAACTTTAATATAGGATTTATACTTTTTCATGTCTATTATTTCCAAAGCTTTCCTCCATACCCTGTCAATAGGTTTCCTCAAGGGTATGGGTAAGGATCTCAGCTGCATCTGGTTTGACTGCATCGTAATGAAAATGGTGACTTGATCAGTATCGGATATATCTGAACATTCTCCCAAAATTATGTCTGACATTTACAAGGAAGTAAGACTGTAAATTCAGCCTTAGGATCTAGTAGTTGCTTGTAAAGCATGAATTGGCACTGGCAGGCTCATGTTGATCTAGAGAATTCAGGTAATATAAGAATTCCACCAGCAGGATAAAACCTGTGCCTGCATTGGCAGTAAAGTTTAAGCACCCAATGTCAATCAGAAATGAAATGCAATGCAATTCAATATCCCCATTTGAAATGTGGCCAAAAAGGAAAACTTTCACAAGTTGAAGAGAAGATAGTAACCCATCCTCCCATACTGCATAATGCAACTCAGCTCACATATGGTTTTGCTCAGTGTTTATCAGACAACACAAACACTTCCACAACTGGGAAAGAAAGTCCTAGGGACAGTCTGGGGCAGCAAAGGGGAGATCTGAAACAGCCTACATTGCTTCAAGATGAACTCTTGGAAGCATAGGGCTGAACACCATCCCTTTCCAGAGACAGCTGTTGGGCAGGGAAGATCAGGTTTTTTGGGGATTTCACAATGCAATGGCATTCCATTATAACTTTTTCTCCCTGGGAAAAGGGGTTTTTTTTTGTAAAGTTTCCAGTTTGAAATTTCTTCTTCCTTCAAATTGCCCAAACTTCTACTTTTCAAAGTCTCTTTTATTTTCCAAATTTAAGATAATTGTAGTAGCTAGAAAGCATTTAGAAATATTCAGAACTAAACCAAAACATTGGAAAATCATCTAAACAAAGTGCTGCACTTGACCCCTAACCTTACTGCTCTTTTCCAGATTTTCAGTTCACCAATATGTTTCAGATTTTGACTTTCCAGCCTCTGTCAGAACAAAAAATGTTTTTCCAATGCTTTGAAAATCCTCATAAAATAAGAAAATAATTTCCAACCTAGATCTAGTGTCAGTCCTATGCCCTGCTCCCTATATAATGCTTCATTTTTCTCCACTGGAACTGGCAAGATGTTTAAAAAGTAAAAGAGTTTTGTCATTCAAAAGTGTACAAGGACTGTAGCTGCAATGGAGATAAAGAAGAGAGAAGGGAGATGATGTCAGAAAGAGTGCATCTCCTGTGATCTTCAGTCTTACCCATTTCAGTTCCCTCTCCACCCTCAGTAAGTTTTTGCTAGAGGCAATACAAAAAATCTCCCAAGGGACTGTTGCTCCAGCCCACACAAGGTCCTGATTGGCAGTTCCCTTTGTTTTTAGCACTTGATCCCACGCATATCAGTCATGAAGTGCAGATCCCAGTTAGGGTCAGCCTCACCCACAGACTCATTACTTGCTCAGAGTCAGATCCAGAACTTTAATGCAAATTCTTACTCAACCAAAACTCCCAACTGGCTTCCAGAAGACTTGACTGCAAAATATGTCTCTGCCATCACTCATAACTCTTGCAAAACATCCATGAGCTCAGAAAACATACTGGGTGTCCTTTTGGATTTAGAGAAATCCAAAATCTTTTTCAGAAGTTCTCATTTTCATCGCAGCTGCCTCTCCAGCTGCATCAGAACACCACGTCCAGTCTCTCCAGCTGCCGCAGGTCTGAGTGAGAGCAGGGGAGGGTCACACAGCCACAAAAATGTGGAGCACTTCTCAGGCCAGTTGTGTGCTGTCTCTGCTCCCCTCTCACTCTGCTGCACTGCCCAGTATAACAGGATGAAGAGCAATCTTCCAGATAGCTACACAAAGCAAGGAAATCATGCAGAGGCTGCTGTTCACACACACTTCTCTGCTCAGGGGACTACTGCCCCTTGAAATTGGTCATGAACAAAGCTGTCAGAAGCAAGGATTCAACTGACCTGACTACAGCCATTTAGAATAAAGTAAATAACATTGTCTGTACTTTCTCCCTTGGCAATCAACAGGGAGGTAACCTCAGGAGGGCAGAGACTTCATTTCAGAAACACCATCTCCTTATCCACCTCTAGGCATGTCTGGGAGACAAATGGAGTCAGGGCCCTGGCAGGCCCTGACATCACAGTCTGGTGGGAACAGAGGACATCAAAGGTGTCCATGGTGCAGGCCTCCTAGGCTCCACTCCTTGCCCCTAGGCATGCCCAGAGACAACAGCCCAGCATGGGAAGCAAACTTAATTCCAAACCAAGGGCATACCTTGGCACAAAAGCAGCCAGAGACAGAGACTGGAGTGGGCTGTGCTCTGGGAGGGCACACTAGGCACCTGCACACACTACAAGCTGTGCAGCCCAGGTTGGAGCAAGGCTGGACCGTGGCTTGCACTGCTGCCAGCACACCAGAGCTCATCTCTGGGCTGTCCTGAGGAAGATCTGCCACATCTGCCTCCTCACTGAGCATAACTGCTGCTTACAAGCTCAGAGCTGCGAGCCCGACATGCAGTGGGATGGGGTGCAATGCAGCAAGGATGAGCTCTGGAAACCATCTCATGTGAGCAGCTGCTCCAAGGCAGGACACACTGTTTCAGCAGCTAAATGTGAAGGGGCAAATGCCTGTTTGCCCTGGCATCTCTTGCACTTCACTAAGCCAAAGAAGCAGCATTCACTGGAAGTGACCTTAGCAGCTCCCTCGGGCCTTCACTTCTCATCCTCCTTACTGCCTCCAGTTCTCACCCTGAGCTCTGTAATCCCTGGGGCTGAGTCTCGTGGAGGCTGAATCTAAACAGTTTCACCCCGGACTGCAGCACTTCTCAAGGCAGTGAGTGCCTGTGAGGGCTATGAAGCACCTTTGTGAGGTTTAGAAGGAAAGAATTCTGTGAGACCTGAACATGCAGACGAATGTGCTTCTCACAAGTGAGGCCAACCATGCCCTCATAAGAAGGCAGCTTAAAAATCACTGCATTTATCAGCATAACTATTGTTTCTGGGATTATTTTTATTTGCCTTCTGGTTTGGGGGCTTTTAGATCATATTTATGTGTGGGTTTTTTCTGCAACCATAAAACCTAAAAACTCTGCTGAAATTTTTATTGTTCCCATGAATCCAGGAGCTGGAAGTTCACAGAATGTTCATGGGACTTATGGTAAAACTCATGAGCTAAGAACATATATACTTGAATGCAAGAGGCTGTTGTGTTGTGCTAAGCATATTTCGTCTGTGTAACAATATGTGAAGGGAATTACATAAGGAGGATGTTGTAAGTTAGTATGACATGTCTGTTGGGGAGATGATGTGCACACAGGGGATTCTTGCACTTTAGGATTGTAAGTACATCTCTGGCAATTGTGTTTTCTGAAATGTGCCTGGTATTTTATATTTTTCAGAGCACAGAAGTGCATTAACCCAGCTTGATAGCTACTTGCTGGCTGCTTACAGGAGAGAACACAGAAACATAGACAGGTATTTGAGGACAGGGGATGACCAAGTATAGACACACCTGGACGTGGCTTTTGGGTTAATCCAGACATAGACTTTTATCCTGTGTGCTCACTGAATCCAAATCACAGAAAGGATTAAAGCTAGTTGAATCACAAAGTCCTGGCTGGTGGTAGATTAACTCCAGAGCTAGAAGGTAAAATACCAGAATCAGCTATTTTTTACTATTCTGTACCTTTTTAATTGTCAATTCTGGCAAGCTCATGGCTTCCTCTAGTAGGTCTGCCTACTAATAAGGACCCTGTGATGTAAATTCAAGGCACCTAGAGTCTTACAGTGCCTGACTTTAAGAGCTGCCAGTGTGCAAATCACCTCTGTCCCCAGTGCCCTTCTCATTTCAGGAGCTTGCACGTGCTGTGTCCCGCACAGGGAGGCACACCCCCTGACAACAGCACAGCCTTTATGTGCAGGGGCAAATCCTGTCCTGGCCCCTCTGAGCTGACAGAGCCACTGCTGCCAGAGCCAGCATTGTGCTGCTGGCAGGCAGCTGAGACCACTGTGCCAGGATTGCCTGTGAGCCCAGAGATGCGGTGCTGTATCGGCTGCTCCACGTCCCTGCATGAGATCAGCAGCACTGTCACAAATGGAGACTCTCAGCAATCATGGCATGCTGGAATTCTCTAGAGACCACTCCATCCTTCAAGTGAAACTGTCCAAGTGTTCAAGCCCCAGAGTCAGGTATCTGGTTACCCTTATCTCAGGGACATAACTGCCATGATATTAGCAGCCATTAAATTGTCCAGTCATTTTTTTTTAATATGTCTCAAATACAATTGACCTGGTGACCCATCTGCTGAACCAAATACCACAGGCAAAAAGCTCCAGGAAACCCTCAAGAAATCCAGCACTCAGTTAACTGTCCCACTCCGGTTTTCTGGGCCGGCTCTACCATTTAAACCACACAGCTGTGTGGCGCTTAGCTCTTTGAAAAACGTGTTCTCAAAAATGCCTGGCTTGTCTTCCTATCAAGATAGAATACTTGGTCATTTATCATTTGTCTTCTCATGGTTTTCTGCCTGAGGCCCAGCAGCTCACTTGGAAGTTAAGTCCTAATTGTTTTCCATCTCAGGTTTCTCAGCTAGCTATCTTGGGGATTTTCACAGGAGCATATAGAAGTGACCACCAGGAACATAAAGCACTGCAGACTTTCCCATTACCCACCCAAGATTTAGTACTCTTCTAGGCTCGTAATAAAAAGGACTCTGTTGCTAATTAATCACCTGATTAAGGTTCCGGGCTTGCAGATCTCATTTTTTCATACTGAGACGTGCTTTCTTTCACTGCCTGTCAGCATAGCTGGACTTGAACCCTTGCCTGCATTAGCACAATAAGATTCTCTTCATGGGCACTGCTCTAGTGGTGATCATTGAAATGGTGGCTTCAGGTCCTGCTGCCCTGGGGGATCACATGGGGGATGATACCCTCCACATGGTGAACTGACAGCAAGAACTTGGAACCATGTTGTACCAGATAGAATAAGATCAATATTAGAAGAAATTAGCCTTGTTTGTATGCACAACATTCCCAGAAGCTTCATCAAGAATTTACATAGACTTTTCAGGGCTGGATGGTGAAAAATAAGTTTTTGTTTTTCTTTTGGCCTAATGTTCACTTCTAACCTTACATCAGGAGCTGAGGCAGAAAAGTTAAAAAGAGCATGAAATTCTGCTTCAGAGAGGGGCATCTAGGTGATGGAGAGTTGAAGAATTCGGGCTCTGCAGAGCTTGGGGGGAGAATTGTTCTGGTCTACTTTAGCTTATTTCATCAGGTTCAGAGCTCAGTTTGCACCTTAATTACAGGGGTGGCTGTGCCAAAGATAGGGCGGAAGAGCTACATACAGAAACAATTTTCCAGTGAGTTACTGTTTCAGTGGTTCAATCATTTTATTGGTCATTTTGGAGTGGCTCTCAAATGATCCCCTTAAACTGATGGGCAGCTGTTTTTCAGCATCAAAAAATTACAATTACAGCAAAATTCCAGGCATGACCCTTTCCACATGTATTTTAGCTCTAATATAAATCCTTTTGGCAGCATCAGACAGGAGGAAAAGGCTCTTTGGTCAAACAGTTTAAAACTTATTGTTTTTTTTTTAAGTAAATACTTGATAACATCTATTTAACACAAGCTCTTAGTGAATACGTGTATAAGGAAAAAAATCTGTGTGTGAGAGATATAAGACTATAACTAAATCTGGTTTGCAAATTTCCGACTAAACAAAGTTTCATCAGTAAACATCACTTCCTTGAATATTTCATCTGAAGCATCTCACGTTTGATCAAGTTTCACTGAAGCTGAGACAAAGCTAAGGTTTAACAGCTTGACACTGAAATAGCTTTGCATTGCTAAACAGCTCAGATGAGTTTCGTTTCTCAGACTTGTTTTCAGAATTTTCATTGAACAACAGTAAAGAACAAATTAGAAACTGAAAAAAGTGCACCTCGGAAAACTTCCCCAAAAGTCAGAAATGCTGACTTTGGTCACACTTATTGATCTCATGTTCAGTTGTGATTTGAGAAGTTCCCTTCCTTGTTCTTGACTCCTGAGAAAGGGGAGATTAGGTATTACTAGACAAAGACCAATTATAAAAATAAAATAATGTTAAATTATGCTGGAAAAAAAAAATAAAAAAAATAAAAAAAAGTGGAGAGAAGCAACTGGGTCGGGGAGAGAAGCAACAAAAAAATTCCACAAGTAGTTTCAATTTTCACCTCTTCAGTATCACTGTGCAGAACCAACACAGACTCTGGTGTATTAAACGGAAATAGCTGCAAGCTCTTTGTTTATTTGTATTTTCTTATTTTGACCTCTGACAAAGTGGTCACCAATCCCAAAGACGCCAAAGATCCCAAACAAGACACTGTAGCTGTTTTTTTTAACAGTGACTGGGAATTTAGAGGGGCATGAAATTTAAGACATATCCGAGGTGCCAACTTTCAGAAAGTGCTGAGAAGCGATGCCCCGGAAATCAGCCTCATTGTAGTTTTCCCATTCAGAAACTCAATCACCAAGGCATTTCAAATCCCCACCACATGGATTCTTTGTAGTCCTAAAAACTCAATCCCTAATTAGGCTTATGCATAACAATGTGGTCATTTTTTTCTATTTTTAGAAAACATTTTCTAAATACTAATTCAATTAATCACCTAACCAGGTAATGGGAAGTCACTTTCCTCGTAGTTAGTCATCTGAAACACTGATAAAAACAACTCAGCAGGAAGTTGCCTCAATCATTCTGGGAACTTTCAACACTATTTCATGGAAATTAGTCCCAATGCTATCATTGTCACCCTGCATCATATATGCAAGTGTGTGCACGTATCCATATACACACACATGCTTGAAAGAGCCAAAATATGCCAAAACGTCATCCTTAAAGTCTTAGGGGTATATGGAATAACTGCAAAAAATGAGAATTTTTCCTCTCAACATATCTCAGTACCTATATCTGCACTTGAATACTATTTCAAGCACCAACGATGCCTGTTTGTGTGTGCATATATTGTGCTTTGCTTTCTGTCTGGATCATTAACTGAAATAAGTCAGCTCATGTGCAAAACATCTGTTTTTCAGTCAAGTCCTGCTTTTGCTCAGCTTAACAGCTGCATTGATTGAGGCATGAATCTGTTTCTGAATTGTTCACAAGCAGTGTGACATGGGCAGAGCAGCAACCTAGGCTCCTTCCCAAACATAGCTGCTTTTTTTCTGATGCCAACTCAGAAAAATTAGCATTATGAATGATTGATAGTATGCAATCAACTGCTTCCAGAACTATTACCATCTCTAATTCAGTGAAGGAGGAGGTGACTCAGTCTTGTTTATACTGTTGAAATCTGGCTGGAGGGCTTTGGCTACGCTGGGAAGGCTCAGTTCAGTTCATCTGTGGATTTATGTCAGCATTTCACACACTCTGGGAAACTTCACTCACCCTGTAGACAGTGCCTCTAGCTCTGAAAGAGCTAGAAGTTAACCTGGGCCATAGAGGAGCTATGACAACCATATCATAATCCATGGTGGTTTCCATCTCCACTCTAGTTTATGTGTTTATAAACACCAAAGTTTTTATTACTTCTAGGGCACCATAGGTGTGCACAGCATGTTTTCTGCAAAACATGGAACCTAGGGCCCAACTCCTGCACTCAGGTCCACTGCTAGGAGCTCTAGTGACCATGCTTTGTCTGGAAGGGCTCTGCTGGAGCATCAGCATGTGGGTCTGTGCATCCAGAGGCAGGATCAGGGAGACCACTGATGCTGATACACATCGAAGCTTGGCTCACGGTACAGGGAGGCTGAGATGTGAAATCCTGGAGTGCAAAAACACTTTGGTTACAGGTAGTGTCAGATATTATTCCTCACTTTATCAGGTTTTGGTTGCACTAGTGCCATTTGGACCAACTAACACATGGATTCACTTTGTTTATACCTGTCTCCCACCATGAACGAAAAAAGAGACAGAGGCAATAGAGATCCTGATTTCAGTGTCTCAGTCAAGTGTCCTTTTTTGGGCTGAAAGGATGTGGGATATAGTATTGAGGAGCCTGGAGAAAGACTGGTTTCCTTCAAGAAAAATCAGTACAGCTACAAATGACCCCAGTGTAAACAGAAAGATGGGGTCTGGCATGGACAGGGAACTCCCAGGACCTGTATCATACAGAGATGTTATCACACCAGTATTTATTCTTGCTGCCCAGTCAACTCACATCAACCAAACCAGGCCACTGCAGTCAAGAGCTTCTTGATGCAATGACATTATTGCAGAGGTTTTTTGCTCAGATGAACCTGACTAACCAGCAGCTCTGTTTAGGCTGAATTTAAACCACACTGTTCCCCTCAATGCAAATATGAACTAGCTATCCCTAACAGCAGAGCCTTTAACCTTTCAGGAAGCACTAGGAAGCTGCCATCTGGCTGGCCATCTGTCTTTCAAAAGGTGAGGAAGCAGGAAGGCTGAGTGACGTATGGCAATGCTGAATTCCCAAAGTATTGGTGACCTCAGTGCTTTATGGTCTGGTTTTGCCCCACATGTATTCTGTCACCCTCCCTGGTCGCACAGTTAGCGGCCACAAACACAATTATGCTGGGCCAGGGGTGCTCCCCCTCTTCATTTGACATTAATGAAATTGCAAGCAGATATGGCTGTACTCGCTGCCCTGCTTTGGCAATGTTTACAAAGCTGTTACCTTGCTGGGCTCCCCATTCAGTGCCAAGTGGAAGAAAATCCTTTGAGGTTGCCTTCACTATTTTACCTCCTTGGATGTTGTTATGTCTTCTGGCTGGGAGCTGGATACCAGCACAGACAGAACCAATTATCCAGGCCCCTCCACATCTGGCACACAAGTATCTGCATGCTGCCATAGCTAAATGGCATTTGACCTGGGAGCCTGATCTTCCATAGACAGCAACTTTATTAACAACAGCTCAAGGAAATCCCCCATCCCCTCCGCCCTAATCTGTGCTTGCTAAGTTGCCCTCTACTCAGTCACTCCTGAAAAATACTGGATTGCTTTTGAGGCCTTGGGGCACACACACAAAGCCACTACAATGGATTTTACTGGCACACCCAGCCTTCTCTGCTGTTGCCTATTGCCATCTTACATTGTAGTGTCATGGAATGTTTGTGTAGAGGGCTTAAATATTCATTTCTCTGGAGGTTCATTTGCACTGTAACGTCTCAGACTTGGACTCTACCTTTTTTAATAGATTCTGTGGGATTTGTAGAGTATAAACCAACACAGAGGGGTTTATGAGAACTTTCCTCCAGCAGCACGTACAGCCAAAATTTCTTGGACCATGGGAGTTTGTGCACAGGGTGTGAGTTTTGCTTCTTGAAGAACTTTTTTGTTGTTCACAGCCTGCTTAGCCCAGATGTACATAGCATTTTACATCTGTGAAATAAAATGTCCAAGATGAAACAAGACAATTTTGTGGGGGGAGAAAAAGCCCAACTATGCAGTTTTGATGTGATTGCTAAGTATGACACTAGCAGAAGTCTCAGGAACTACACATCCCAGTCCTGCTTAAAAAGACCTAAATACACATGACTGTGTTCCTAAGGACCTCATCTTCTCAGCTAAGACACCTTTCCAGATTACCCAACCATAAATGGCACACTGAAAAAATGATCTATTAAGAGGTGACCCGTTCTAATTGCTTATAAAACTCTACTGTAACTCATGGAAGTCTATCATGTTATAATTCCCAGTCTTCTGCTCAGATAACAATTGCGAACTGGGACATATGAGAAGAAAAATGACACAGCCAAAGCCTCACAGATGGCTCAGGACAGAAAATTGAACTTGGAGGCTTAAAGCACTGTT